GTCTGGAGTTGATTCTAAGTGTGGTACTTGCATTTGGAATCTATTGCATTTGTGAACTTAAATCATGCGTTCAAAGGAGCTGTCCATGCAAGTGAAACAGGCCATTGTAAGGCTTCAAAAACTAAACCAATCAATCAGAGCGTTAGCAGCAACTTTAGGAGAGGCCAAATCAACAGTTTGATACAGTCTGAGGAAAGAAGAACGCACTGGTGAGCTCAGCGACATAGAAAGGCATGGATGTCCACAGAAGATGACACAGAATCCTGTCTATGGTAAAGAAAAACTCATTCACAACATCCAGACAAGTGAAGGACACTCTCCAGGAGGTGGGCGTATCATTGTCAAAGTCTACAAACAAGAGAAGACTTCAAGAGAGCAAATGCAGAGGGTTCACCACAAGGTGCAAACCATTCATAAGCCTGAAGAATAGCAAAAACCAGATTAGACTTTGCAAAAAAAAATCTAAAAAAGCCAGACCTGTTCTGGAAAAGCATTCTTTGGACGGATGAAACTAAGATTAATCTGTACCAGAATGATAGGAAGAAAAAAGTGTGGAGAAGGCTTGGAACAGCTCATGATCCAAAGCACACAACGTCATCTGTAAAACATGGTGGAGGCAGTGTGATGGCATGGGCATGCATGGCTTCTGGTGGCACTGGGTCATTGGTGTTTATTGATGATGTGACAGAAGACAAGCAACCGGATGAATTCTGCAGTGTTTATAGATATACTGTCAGCCCAGATTCAGCTAAATGCAGCAAAGATGATTGGACGGCGCTTCAAAGTACAGATGGACAATGATCCAAAACACACTGCAAAAGCAACCGAGGAGCTTTTGAAGGAAAAGAAGTGGAATATTCTGCAATGGCCGAGTCAATCCCCTGGTCTCAACCCAATTGAGCATGCATTTCACTTGCTGAAGGCAAAACTAAAGGCAGAAAGACCCACAAACAAAGAACAACTGAAGAAAGCTGCAGTTAGAGCCTGGCAAAGCATCAGAAAGGAGGAACCCCAGTCTTTGGTAATGTCCATGGGTTCCAGACTTCAGGCAGTCATTGCCAGTAAAGAATTCTCAACAAAATATTAAAAAAATTAACATTTTATTTATTTATATTCAAATGTCCAGTTACTTTTGGTTATGTCCATCGGATTGCCAGAAAGAGAAGTGTAATTCGTCACTCCAGAGAACACATCTCCACTGCTCTTGAGTCTAGTGGTGGCGTGCTTTACACCACTGCATCCAACGCTTTGCTTTGCACTTGGTGACGTAAGGCTTGGATGCATCTGCTAGGCCATGGAAACCCATTCCATGAAGCTCACTCTTTGTGATAATCTGAAGGCCACACAAACTTTGGAGGACTTTAGCTATTGACTCTGCAGACAGTTGGGGACTTCTGTGCACTGTGCGCTTCAGCATGCGCTGACCCCACTCTGTCATTTTACGTGGCTTACCACTTCGTGGCTGAGTTGCTGTTGTTCCCAATTTCTTCCACTTTGTTATAATACTACTAACAGTTGACCGTGGAATATTTAGTAGCAAGGAAATTTCACAGATGGACTTATTGCACAGTTTGCAGAAAATGTTCCTGCACTACTTTGATGTGACTTTCTTGTGACTTGAGTCCCAGAGAGTGTAAAGTTACATCAAAGTGGCATCAAAGTTGCACTCAAAATCATGTGACTTTGGAGTTGCACTAGTGGGAACGGAGCCTAAAAGCCCTCTAGGCTGCAGTGCACAGATGTGAACCAGCCACACAGGAAATAATGGGACTTCTGAAATGCATTTTACTGCAGGAGAACAGACAAGTGTGTCTAACCCTTTAAGTGGAATTCTGGGATTAATCCTAACTACTCTTAAAACTGTCCCTACAAACATTCCCTTGTCAGATTAGGAACAGCCTTGTTTGATATCTTAAGATCCTTCAAGTGGAATTCTGGGCTTAACCTCAACCACCCTTTAAACTGTCCCCTATCCTCTCCTAACACCTATGCTTACTAGCCTGTGTAAGGAAGATCTGTATACTTACTTATTTTCAGCCCACTCTGGTCCAGTCACAGACTGTCCCCTGTGTCCGCCAATGGTGCTCTAGGGGAGAGGAGCGAGCACCTCAACAACAGCTACAGTTGCAAGAAAAAGTATGTGAACCCCTTGGGATTACGTGGAGTTTTGCATGAATTGGGCATAAAATGTGCTCTGAACATCATCTAAGTCACAACAATAGAAGAACACAGTCTGCTGAACATATATACTACACAAGCCTACAGTAGTGACGTCAACCTTAGACTTCAAAGGCCCATCCGTTGTTTAGTGGTTCCTCCTCTCCCCTGTATCTGTGTTGGCTGGCATAGGGGAACCAGACTATGTAACTGAAATGGGTTGAAAATAGGCAAGTATACAGATTTTTTTGTACACAGGTTAGTAAGTATAGGTATTAGGAGGTGGGAGCAGACTGTTTTAGGAGTAGTTGAGATTAAGCCCACTTTATGGATCTTACAGAAATCAACAAGGCTGTTCCTAATCTGATAAAGGAATGTTTGTAGGTCCATTGGTCCTATCAAATGGTGGAGATTCAGCTGATCTCTTTTGCTTTTCCCTGGGGAAGGCCAGTGCTTGCTAGGGATGTCTAAAGCTTTTAGACATGTATAGAATCTAATAGATTCCTCCATTAATGCTACATATCTCAGATGGACGAATATCCTGCTGTGGCCATTTTATTTTGACAGCTGGCCATTGTATTTTGACATCAGCAACCAGAAAAAATTCCTTCCATGTATGACCAGATTAAGAGTTTTCATAGACACAAGCAATTGAGTACTGTCCGTGATACTTTTTTTATTTGCACTAACATACAATTTTGAGGACAAGCAATGGGAATGTGCCTGATTGTTTAAAAGAAGGATGGTTCAATATCCAAATCATGCATGAATTAGCTACCAGATCATAAATGTCTAGTTTTTAGCCAGTACGTTTCCACCTATATATTCTTTTTTTATACTTCGTCTATCTCTCCTTGCTCTTTGGCATATTGGTCCCATTGCTTCTAGTTTCATTCTTTCCAATTCTCTTTTTGCTTTAGCTACTCCCTCTCCCACCTCCCACCTCTTCCCTTTGATGTGTCTGTACATTAGAAAGTGGATAATTAAAGATTAGGAAGTAATCATTCCCTTCTTGGCGCAGTCCCCTCCCGAGGCCAGCCTGATAATGATGCTAATCAGTTTGGGGTTTCTGGGGCATGTGTTCTTACAATGCATTGCAAAGGAATGTTACATGAGATTATTAAAGCATTGATGAACCAATGTGACCCTGGTATGTGGTATGTAATGTTCTAGAATCTGACAACAGGCAGTAACTGTGCTATAAACAACGAGCTGTGGATGTATGCTACTACATAGACCATGTGGTAGAGCCTGCAGAGATTGGAACCATTGCCAAACCTATGGCCCTGCATATGGGTCCACCTCTGACCCTTAATTAAATAAATGTGTCCATAAACCAGCTATGCCTTTAGCTTATGACATTTATTTTGCTAAAACCTTATGAATCAGAAACAGTTTCCATATTTTTCCCAACATACTGTTTTCTCTTTTAATTGCATCTCAATGCTGCTGATCTCCTACAACCTCTTTCAGCAACTTCCTGTCTATATGCACTCTCTCCAGCATTAGGTGCCCATGTTTGTTCTGGAGTGGCTTACTGATAGTGACAAGAGAGGACCATGCCTGCGCAATGTGTATTCCATGGTTCCAGCACAGCCCTTTGCAGGATGGTTACACAACACAGAGTCTTGTGAAAAAAGATTGTAAGGGATCATGTACACTGCAGCTGATAAACTGACGTTCAGGAGCTGTTCAGCGGTTTTTTCAGCAGCCCATGAACTCTCCCTAATGTTTTCCTATGTGTCCATGTACACATAGTCATTTACAGTCATTTACAGGCAGTTGAGTTTACAGTTGTTTTTTTGAACACACCAAACTTGCGTTCAGGAGTAGATTTTACCGGCGTTTCAAACACTAAACACTTGTAAACGCAGTTAACCGCGTTTATAAGCGTTTGCATTTAGAAGCTTTTTTTAACTGTTCCATGTCCAGATGCTGTCCAGAGCCATTTTTCATCATCAGAAATGCATTAAAAGCATTTTCCATGTATTCAAATGGACCTAGCACACGAGCGCAGTCAGTTCCAGGTTTCACGTGAAGGAAAAAATGGTAGAACGTGCCGCATTATGCTCATGATGGGATCCATAGTGAATACAACCAGAAAAGACAGGTCATCTCAACACATACTGCTCTCTCTGCCTCTGCTCTCTCTATTCCTCTCAAAATGTCTGAAATAGTTAATTTTTTACTGTTTTTCAGTGCATTCTGGACATTTGGGAAGGTCTCCTGAGGTTATCTTTTAAAAACGTTTCTAAACGCATTAACACGGTATGCAAACGCAGCTAAACTGACGTTTTTTAACCTACGTTTCTATCGTTCAGAAGAGCTTTCCAAACATCCCGTGTACATGAGCCCTAAAAGGCTTGCTGAATCTGGCAGCAATGCATTTTAAAAAACATAAAGTTCCTACTGCCATTCCCAAATCTGGTCACTGTATCCTAAACAATGTATACTTGGAATGGTCTTTTTGAGAGATTATATTTCCTGTATATGGGATCAGCTCACTGCTTTCAAAGCACTTTTTCCTTATTACAGCACAGAGCTAGATCATATGACTTATAATAGGTGGATTCTCACACTTTGCTTTCCCAGTTCCTTGAGTTTAAGAAACTTCCTGGAATGGCCTACAGATTTTATAGAGCATAAGCAGGTAAGAATGTGATGTGATTTGATAAATGAGATGAAGATAAAATTGATGAAGAATGTGATTTGATAAAAGCCTTGCAGTGCACCTGTGTATATATAACTGACCTTAGGAGGATCGTTTTGTTTGAGCAAAAATTGCATATAATTTATAAAAACAAAGACATAATGACATCAGTTTTTTTTCTAATAATATTTTCTTGATTTCAGGTGGAGCGTGAGATTGCAATTCTTAAACTTATTGAACATCCGCATGTACTAAAGTTACACGATGTCTATGAGAACAAGAAGTACCTGTAAGTCAATTAAATATATTATACTATATGTAGTTACTTAGCTGACTAATGGTGGCCATGCACATGATAATCTGGTTGAATGATTTTTCACAGAATCTATGAATAATCAAAGAGACACATACTGTGTCATCAATATATTTTGAGCAAAACCAACTGATTTTATCAAATTGATTCTGATTGGTCTGAATGGAAAATCCAATCATAGGACAGTAGATAGAGCGATATGATCATTACGTGTGTCACGCATTGTACAGTTTTTTCGATCTTCTGAACATACTTTTCTCTCGGACAGTAAATAGATCGCCAATACAATTGTATATAAATTTAAGCCTTGTATGGTCACCATTAGAGTTTGTTTGTTAAAGCTAAACTCTGTGCAGATATAAAATGCAGCTATGCGTTTCCTTACCAATAATTACAAATATTTTTACATACAACTAATAAAAGTACCTAAATTTGTTTTGGTATCAGCTTCTGTCATCTCTAGCGTAGTAGCCCTGGTTCAGACTGGATCTGACTTTGAAATAATGCGGCTTCACTTAAAGTCACACAATTTCAAAGTTAAATTGCAGTGCGACTTGGGGTGGGACTTGATAGACAGATGTCTATGCAAGTCGCACCCCAAACGGGCAAAAGTAGTGCAAGAACTACTGTTCTAATTGCCGATCATTGCATGTGATTTATCATGCGATTTGACTGTTCAAATCGCATGACAATTCACATCAGAGTGAACCAGGACTCAGACTGGGAGAGGTTGAATCAGCACTGGTTACCAGTCAGGGTCTGTGCTGACAGGAAGAGAGCGCAGGGTGTGTAGGGATGATGACTTATCAGTGTACTACTGCTCCTTCATTATCTAATCAGTAAACTGCAAGTGGCAAGGTGACACCATTGTATTCAAAAACCTAGTCCGGCCACACATGGGTCGAAATTCGACCAATTTTTGCTCTGTCTGTTAGTGGGTCAATGGCACTGGCCGATTTTCATGGTTCCTCCCCTTTTCGGTGATCGGGCATGTTGGAAAATTCATGAAAAATGACCGGTTTTCGACTCAATGATGGTCAAATCGTACGATCGTTTTTTCGCAAAGAATATGCACATGAGCCATGATCTGGAATGAACAGAAGTTTCGCCTGTTATATGGGGTGAACTTTATGACTTGGTCAGCCGATTTTCAAAATTATTGATGGTACCATCGGATTATTGAGCGAATGACGTTTTTTTCGATTTTTGGACGAAAAATAATTCAGAATTCGAACCATGTATGACCTGCATTAAGCAGAGAATAAGGTGTCGCCCTCCTGGTTGTGCTGTCTGTCACAGGTGAAGGCATTTAAAGGGGCTTGTCAGAATTACCAGTAGGGTAAATAAGAAACATCACATATGTAAATGTAAACAGCATATGTAGCTGTTCAGTTTTACACTTTATTTCCTCACTGGTGTAATCCCTCAAGAGTATACAGTTTTAAAGACGTTAAGTGACTGTACCACATATTAATACAGTCTATTAATTCCTCCATAAGATCAGTACTCACTAGCCTGTCTGATACAATATGATACCAACACCTCTCCACCAGGTCTGCCAAAAAATATTCACACCTCAAAGGAGAGATTGTAACACAGATGGGCTAAAAATGTTCATGTTGGATAGCAGATTTATCCCGCTTATCCACCTTAAAGCTTAATTCCTAATTTCTTGACGATAATGCTGAGTGACAGTGCAAATATTCTCTAGTTTTATTCTATTATCAGGAATACATCATTGTCTAGTTTTGTAATCGGGCTCAGCTCTAATAGCTTTAAACATTTTAGAGTACAATCTTCTACTAAAATTATATTATATGAGAATGTACTTAAAGTATCCAATTAATTTATATCCCATCAGGTAGGCCCTTGTATTACATAGTTGATGGTGGATGTAAAGGAGGTTGTACGGTCGTGTTATAAAGTTCATGGTGAGCTTTAGAGACTTCTCATCTTTTACACAGGTACTTGGTCTTGGAGCATGTTTCTGGAGGAGAACTCTTTGACTACCTGGTGAAGAAAGGACGTCTTACCCCAAAGGAAGCACGAAAATTCTTCCGGCAGATCATATCAGCACTTGATTTCTGCCACAGTCACTCTATCTGGTGAGAAGACCCAAGAAAGGACAGACTGGGTTATGTCCCTGTGTTAGTCATACTGAGGCAGATCTGTAAGGCCCCTTTCACATGGGCGGCAACCTCTACCGCCCACTGAAAAGTGATCCATATTTTTTTTTCATTCCCCAGGAGGATTTTGTATTGAAAAAACTGCACTGCAAAATTGTTGTGGCAAGGTCTCACTGAATTCAATAGGTGAGTTTGATAGGCAGAGCCATCTGTCAAATTTGACAGGCCGAGTTAAACTTGGCAAAGCACCACAGCATGCGTGCCGCCCCCTACAGCTACAGTGGTAAGCTTTCAGTGGGAAGTTGGAAGGTAGAAATGTGGGTCAACCAGCTGTTTTTACCACCCCTTTGCCTCCCATGTAATAGGGGCCTTACTGAATATACAACAAGATATGTGTCTGTTGCTATTCTCATTTCTGAATCTCTCTAGGAAATGTCAAAACTGACTTGATGTTCACATGGGCTGCCAATGCACCTCAATTGCCAAAAAAAAACATACAGTCAGGTCCATAAATATTGGGACATCGACACAATTCTAACATTTTTGGCTTTATACACCACCACAATGGATTTGAAATGAAACAAACAAGATGTGCTTTAACTGCAGACTGTCAGCTTTAATTTGAGGGTATTTACATCCAAATCAGGTGAACGGTGTAGGAATTACAACAGTTTGCATATGTGCCTCCCACTTATTAAGAGACCAAAAGTAATGGGACAATTGGCTTCTCAGCCGTTCCATGGCCAGGTGTGTGTTATTTCCTCATTATCCCAATTACAATTGAGCAGATAAAAGGTCCAGAGTTAATTTCAAGTGTGCTATTTGCATTTGGAATCTGTTGCTGTCAACTCTCAAGATGAGATCCAAAGAGCTGTCACTATCAGTGAAGCAAGCCATCATTAGGCTGAAAAAACAAAACAAACCCATCAGAGAGATAGCAAAAAACATTAGGCATGGCCAAAACAACTGTTTGGAACATTCTTAAAAAGAAGGAACGCATCGGTGAGCTCAGCAACACCAAAAGACCCGGAAGACCACGGAAAACAACTGTGGTGGATGACCGAAGAATTCTTTCCCTGGTGAAGAAAAAACCCTTCACAACAGTTGGCCAGATCAAGAACACTCTCCAGGAGGTAGGTGTATGTGTGTCAAAGTCAACAATCAAGAGAAGACTTCACCAGAGTGAATACAGAGGGTTCACCACAAGATGGAAACCATTGGTGAGCCTCAAAAACAGGAAGGCCAGATTAGAGTTTGCCAAACGACATCTAAAAAAGCCTTCAAAGTTCTGGAACAACATCCTATGGACAGATGAGACCAAGATCAACTTGTACCAGAGTGATGGGAAGAGAGAGTATGGAGAAGGAAAGGAACTGCTCATGATCCTAAGCATACCACCTCATCAGTGAAGCATGGTGGTGGTAGTGTCATGGCGTGGGCATGTATGGCTGCCAATGGAACTGGTTCTCTTGTATTTATTGATGATGTGACTGCTGACAAAAGCAGCAGGATGAATTCTGAAGTGTTTTGGGCAATATTATCTGCTCATATTCAGCCAAATGCTTCAGAACTCATTGGACGCCGCTTCACAGTGGGGATGGACAATGACCCAAAGCATACTGTAAAAGCAACCAAAGAGTTTTTTAAGGGAAAGAAGTGGAATGTTATGCAATGGCCAAGTCAATCACCTGACCTGAATCCGATTGAGCGTGCATTTCACTTGCTGAAGACAAAACTGAAGGGAAAATGCCCCAAGAACAAGCAGGAACTGAAGACAGTTGCAGTAGAGGCCTGGCAGAGCATCACCAGGGATGAAACCCAGCGTCTGGTGATGTCTATGCGTTCCACACTTCAGGCTGTAATTGACTGCAAAGGATTTGCAACCAAGTATTAAAAAGTGAAAGTTTGATTTATGATTATTATTCTGTCCCATTACTTTTGGTTCCTTAATAAGTGGGAGGCACATATGCAAACTGTTGTAATTCCTACACCGTTCACCTGATTTGGATATAAATACCCTCAAATTAAAGCTGACAGTCTGCAGTTAAAGCATATCTTGTTTGTTTCATTTCAAATCCATTGTGGTGGTGCATAGAGCCAAAAATGTTAGAATTGTGTTGATGTCCCAATATTTATGGACCTGACTGTATATGACCCTTTTTTGTAATATGGGCCTACACTTAACATGTGCTGTGGCAACTCATGGTAAGACACGCATTACAAAAAAACACAATTCTGAAGATTGCCTATTTATGTGATAAATAGGGCCTGTGTCAATGAGTTTTGGGCTTGTATCGATGGAAAAGGTTTGGCATTAGTTTCAGACACTTCTGAGACAATAGTCCGGGACACAGCATCATCGGGACCGAGTACCTAGATGCAGGACTGTTCAGGTAAATCTGGGACAGCTGGCATCTATGTGCTTGAAGCCTGTCGACACAGGCCTTTACATTTATAGTCTATACAGCTTCTGACTTACAGAAATGTGTGTCAATTTATGATATCTTCATTTGTTTGTGGTTCTCATATACTTTCTGTACATGTTTCCTTTCTCACCAGTCACAGAGATCTAAAACCTGAGAACCTACTTCTGGATGAGAAGAATAACATCAGGATAGCAGATTTTGGGATGGCCTCTCTGCAGGTCGGAGACAGCCTGCTGGAGACCAGCTGTGGGTATGTAAGCCATGCATAGAGTTAACATAGCTTCTGAAGACTGTGTACCCTAAAAAATATTGATGGTGCTCAGCTATTTGGCCCATAGAACACTGATTTATGGAATGTTCAAAATAGTTGTTCAAGTTGAAGGGTTTGAACAGGAAGATGCAACTAGGGCGAATGTTAAAAAAATACCAAAATGCAACCTATGACTCAAAATTTGCAGATCTCTTCCAAATAAATAATTATTCCGAAAATTATACAATCTGTATTTGGCTCAATGGAGATGTACAGTATTGCGCCAAGGGGGTGATGGCACAAAACTGTCAAGATCATAATTTCTGAACCTAATAAACTATACGCGTTGCAATATTTAATAATTTACATTCAGATGTGTAATGCCACACTTCACATTCCTTTACAACCACCAATTTTTCGGGCCCACTGTATGTAGGTACAGTATAACTTAATTATAATGGGTGATAATTCCTAAAGGGCCTCAGGTTGATGCTGTGGACATCACAGACAATTATTTTGTTAAATGCTTGTATTGCATACATGAGGCCTGTTTTCTTTAGATCATGGAGAACAGTTGCATAGTGTCACGCTTACCCCTAATGCAGGTGGTCAGTCACTATTGCTAGCTTCTGTGTTCTTCACCTATAGCAGCCCCCTTTCCCATAAGACAAGCAGGCCTACCAGTACTCAGATGCCCCCAGAACTTATACAGAATACTATAATGTCTGGCTACCACACTGGGGCAGGCATGAACTGAGCAGAGCAAACAGGTACTTGCAGTTGGCAGACAGGTAGATTAGTTCAATGGTAGTCCAGGTACAAGATAGTAATCGATATCTGATCCGAGGGCTTTAATGAGGGAATCCAAACAGCAGAGCAGACAAGCAGGGAGCTTGTAGCACATGTTACAAACTCAAAATCACAGGAGACTGAAGTCTTGGCTGACTTAAATCAGGTTTGATCTCCACCAAGAGACTGGCCACATCAAGCACCTTGCGGGTGGACAAACAGCCAGGGATGCATCATCGCTAAAACGAGGATGCTGGAATAACACCAGCAGCTGTCAAAGAAAAGGAGCATTTACACACTTTTGACATTACCCCTGGACCCTTAAAGACAGGCTGGATATCGGGCACCGGACCATCAGGGGCATCTGGCACAGGGTCATCAGGCTGGACAATGGTCAGGGGATCAGTGAGGTCAGGTAGGTTAGCAGGCAGAGAGTTTATGGAGCCAAACTGGACAGTAAACATAGAACCAGTAATGTCAGGCTGGATAGCAGGTGACATGTCATTGGAGTCAAGCTGGATAGCTGGAAAGCTGGAACACAGGCTGGATGCAGAGTGGCTTTAAAAAAGGTTCAGGAGCCCCACCTGGCTGAATGGGGCAGTCTCTCCAAAGGATGGATGGAACTTCTTGGACAGGTTTGAGCAGATGTAGCTGCAGTAGGATGAGGCCAGGTTACTGGATATGAAAAAACAGCTGACTCACTTGGCATGGGCTGGATCGGAATAACTGGTGCAGAGGCAGACTGGACCACCTCGGCCGGTGTAGAGGCAGCAGAACTTGAGGACAAGTTAGCCTGGATGTGTGTCCAAAGGCATCTAGGGACAGGAAAAGGTAGGGGTAATCCAGAGGGCTTGACGTTTGAAGACAGGTTTTGCAAGCTTTTACATAGCAACAGGAATCTTTATGGAGCGAGCACCACCAAAGCTCACGCAAAACCAAAGAAAACATTTTAGTAATCCCTGGGTGCCTGGACATCTTAGCGTCTTGTGCTTCTGAAAGCACTCTAAGCCTAAACTGGAGGGGAACAAACAGCTTTCCAAGGGGTAGCTTGGACGGAGCACTAGAGCCTGAGCCTTTAAAATGGAGTCCAAAAGGTCAGGGGAAAGGGTCCCTATTACTTGTGCTGGACGTAAGATATTGTGAAACTTAGAGGAAGTTTCCAAACAGGGCTCAAGGCTGTGAGACAGTGGGTAAGTTTGGTCTCTAGGAGGAAAAGATTCAGACTGTGGCAATTGGCTGGAGAGGTGGCCTGTAGAGGATTCAATAAACTTGTCAGTGTCTTCTTCTACAGCAGAGTCATATAAAGGCAAATGGTTAAGTAAAGTCAAGTCACACTTGTAAAAGTTATCACCATCAGGATCTGAATAGGACTGTAATAAAGGCAAGTGACTGACAGTGGCCACAAAAGAGTCACAAATAGGCAACTGGTCAGCAGTTTTAATCCAGTTCTGGAGGCAGGTCTGGGACCAGGGCATAATCTTTCCTGTAATCCAATCTATGTGCGGGTTATGAAGTTTAAGCCAAGGATAACCTTAGGTTATCTTAATAAGGGGATAAGCAGGAGATGTTATCAAGTAGAAGCAGATTGTCTTCCTATGAAATTACCAAATGGTCAGAATAGTAGGTCCAGTGCACAAGGTGACCAGACCCATGGACAAGGGAGAGTTATCAACAGCTAAGACTGAAAAGGGTCTGTGCATATTAGTCAAGGTAATCTGTAGTAGATGGTGTGCTAGGTTACTATAAATGAAATTGCTAGCAGCACCAGAATCAATGAAAGCTGAGAGGTGATGAGAAAATGTAGCAGAACTAGGTTGTGCAGGAACTAATAGTTTATCTTGGGGAGAACTGTATAGTCTAAAGATGCAGACCCCACTCGCACTAGACTCTTGGCATTTCCCAGCTTATTGGGGCAACTGGTAACAAAGTGGCCATAGTCACCACAGTATAAACAGAGTCCCTTGGATTTTCTTCTAGCCTTATCCCCAGAGGATAAATGAGTAGTGCCAATTTACATGGGCTCCTCCGGGAGAGGTTGAGTTGATGGTCTGATAGAGAAGTGGCCAGTGTACTAGGGGGCAGAGGAACAAACTTCTCAGTACATCTTTCCCTTAAATGCCTGTCTATACGGATGGCTACTTGCATGGCTTCATTCAGCGACTTTGGTTCAGAGTAGTGTACTAATGAGTTTTTGATGGAGTCTGATAAGCCTAACTTGAACTGGCTTCTCAGAGTTGGGGCATTCCACCCTGAGTCAGATGATCAGCAGCAGAAATCAGAGCAGTATTGTTCAGCGGAGAGTTTACCCTGACGTAGTGACCTAAGGTTAGTTTCTGCTGAGTAGGCACGGTCAGAATCATCATAGAGTAAACCCAGGGTCTTGAAAAATGTTTTGACTGACCCTCAGGCTCGGTCTTCTGTGGGAAAACTAAAAGTCCAAGACTGAGGGTCCCCCTGCAATAACCAGATTATCCAGAACCAGAAGAAAGTTGTCTAAACTTAAAGTATAGCATACAACTATTTTTAAAGATGGAAAAAGACATGGGGGTCACCAGAAACAGTCAGGTGGGTTAACCTTGGGCTCTGGTTCCTCTGAGTTCCTGGACAATAGTTTGTAAACACTAGAATCTTCAAGATTTAAAATCAAGCAGGCAAAGTCACCGCAATTTAAGCAGGGACTTGGTTGCCCCCCATTAATATACACACAAGTGCCTCAAAAAATATTTTTATATTGTAGATCATATATAGTTATATATTATTTTAGGCTTTTTAGGTTTTTATGTATGTTTGGTGGACAGACAGGGATTTCACTATTTTGATTGTTTCACCACATCATGACTGTTATATTGACGTATCTCATATTTATTTGCCAATAATTACACTAAGCCTCAGTTATTTCTTTGGGGATATTATTTTTCACATTTATATATTTTTCATCATTAGTGGATAATATATGTATAGTGGTTCAACTAGAAAAAACATGTTATGTGATCATATTTCTGAAATTTTTATATTGTGTACACTGAGGCTGATTGTTGTGGGTTTCTTATATATATTTTTACCAGAACTAGAACATGGGCAAATGTATAATTACTACAACACAATAGAGATTCTCACCGGGAGCGCAACACAATATGTATTATTAGCTTTATGGACACAGAGGTACACTAGTGATTTTGAGTGTTCGCGATCCTATTCACGAAAATTAGGGACAGTGTGTGTCCACTTTTTGGTAGATCTTGGTGAGTTGATATTGATTGGATTTAACTTGGCTCGCAAGTCACACAGATATATGCTAAATGTCAGTTTGGCCCCACCAATGATTAGAAAACTGAGCCAATGTTCTTAAATCTAAAAGTTTCTAACAAAATTCTGTGAGTTCAAAGCCAGCTGTGTTGCATAGATTGTATAATGTGCATGAAATAAATGTACACAAGCCAAGCCTGCAAAGAAAAACATTAAAGTGTTACTAAACCCACAACAGTAAAATCAGTCTATATATGCAGTAAAGCATGCTTGTTATACTCACTGTGGAACCTAAGAGGTTAACCCTCTGCATTGTGTAAAAAGGCTGTTTGATTCTTTCGTCTCTGCCCCTCCTCTTGTTGAAATGACCACTTGATAGAGACTGATCCTGTGGTCACATGCACATGCTCCGTTTGGTATGTATTGCTAGAGAGGTTTTTTTTTTTTGTTGGGAGGGTGCATGTGATCAGCACAGGGCCAATCAGCACTGTCCAGACAGAGGTTCAGAGGTTTCGCATCCTCCTACAGCAGAAAAAAAACTCCTATAAGCTTTAAGTAGTGCTCTGCTGAAGTCACAAAACTGCTCTAAGTGCTGATGAGAAAAGGTATTTAGCAGTTTATATTTACTAAAATAATTGCATTTCCATGTTGTGTGTACTGTGGGACATCAGATATAGTGAATGCAGGGTCCGGGGTTTAGTAACACTTTAATGCTTAGTTGGCCTGCCTTCTTCATTTCCAAATTGCTGACTTTGAAAGATATTCTCACTGAAAACCATTGTTCATCCAAGATTTTGTGTCAGATGTATGGTCTGGTAAGCTTTATGTTTCTTTCCTCCAGTCACTGTGTCCTGTAGTGTAGTAAAATAAAATGTGAGGCACTGGCTGTCAGTATTATGGGCGATATATATGTGCCACCTGGATTTCTCAGCTACATCTATTGAGGGACTGCAGAGTCTTAATACGTTCTGTTCTGAGTTCTGGAACACGGAGGCTTTGTAAAGCTCTGTGCGGGATAAAGCCTCCATTCCTAGGTCCACTTCTTACCTAGTAGCCAAACCTCAATATTAGTCTTAGTTATCCACAGGTCTTTATATACTGTATGTGAGCTGACCTCTGGTATGACTGTTCATTTTCATAAATGGGGTAAACAGGCTCAAAGGAAGGGGGTGATGCTAAAGAGTAACTTGATCTCAGTAGACATACCTAGTAGAACTGTAAGGCATGTCATTAGCTTGGCTAACCTGCTACACATTGTAGTACTGGGCTTTGATTTTCCTCAGTTTTGTTACCTGTGGGTGCAGAAAAAGCAGGTAAGCAGTGCTCAAAATTGCCTGAAATAACAGATATACCTGTAAGCAGGGACGTTTCTGAGACAGCACAGTTGAAGGATCCTAATTTGGTAAATTCATGGATAAATGTAAAGGTAATAAACAGGATACTTTAAGAACCATAAGTTCATCAAGCGTACCCCCATATTGCAGTACAGCAGGGCTTTGGGTGTCATGTAAATTAGTAATAGGAGCAACTTGTGGAGCAGCTGGTGGTTTTTTAGTCTCAAGCAAGGACGGTATTGGATCTGGCCATTATTCATGTGTTCGGTGGTCATTTAGGGGTTGAAAAAACAAAGAGAGAATTCAGCAGTGCTTTTTCTGGCCTGATATTTATAAAGCAGGTAAGGAGTATTGTAATTCTTGCCCTGAGCGTCATAAAAATGCACCCCAACCAGATTTTACCCCCAGTACTGAACATGTGCAGCTTCCCCCCCCCCCCCCAAGTCTCTGATCTATCAGGAGATATTTAGGAGAAGGGGAGGATCAGAGAGGATTAACCCCTTATGGTTCCACAGTGAGTATAACAAGCATGCTTTACTGCATATACAGACTGATTTTACTATTGTGGGTTTAGTAATACTTTAAGAAGGGAAGCTATGGATCTGGTCTGGTCACTGCCAAGTCTGCCAGGAGGCATTAGCACATTTCAGTAGTCCTTGACTATGCCTCCAGACTAGTCCCTCTCAGAAATACATCCACTAAGATCATAGCTGTTTCACATGTTTTACCTTATCGGCAATTCCTAAGAAAGATTTTGACAGGCCAAGGAATCCTTTCCATGTCAAAGGTAATCATAGAGCTGTGTAAGTTGTTGAAATGTTGTCATTTATGCAAAAATGATGGGTTGGCTGCACAGTTTAATAGAACCCTGAAATGTTAAAAAAGTAGCTTTCGTTACCATACTTAAAGTGATACTAAACCTAAAAATGTTTTTTTACCTTACTGCATTGCTTACATTAAGCTAAAAAACATTTTTAGTTTCCCTGTGTGAAGGGGAAGAGAGGGGAGAAGAGATCAGTGCTGTGCATGGCTGCATCTCTTCTCCCCTCACTTCCTCTTCACACAAGGACTCGGACAGCAGCAGGAGCCATTAGCGCTTGCCGCTCTCAATCAAATGCGGTGAAGAGAAAGTGGGGGATGAGGCCAAGTCCTGCTGTATGTGTCTATGGAGTTCTGCTCCGTAGACTTACAGATCAGCAGCGAGCACGCAGCGTGTGTCCCCATAGCAAATGCTTGCTATGGGGACACACAAAGAAGAGAAGGAGCCAGGATTGCCAGTGGTGGACCCGAAAAGAGGAGGCTTGGGGCCGCTCTATGCAATACCACTGCATAGAGCAGGTGAGTAGAACATGTTTGTTATTTTGATTTTTTTTTTTAAATTCTGCCTTTAGGAACACTTTAATTAAGGGAATTCATAAAGAGTGTCTACAACACTAAAAAAACCACAAAGACTTCTGAAGTGCCCCCACACAACAAATGTTGTTACAGGCGACAGATTCATGTACAGTGGGGCAAAAAAAAAGTATTTAGTCAGCCACCAATTGTGCAAGTTCTCCCACTTACAAAGATGAGAGAGGCCTGTAATTGGCATCATAGGTAGACCTCAACTGTGAGAGACAAAATGAGAAAACAAATCCAGACAATCACATTGGCTGATTTGGAAAGAATTTATTTGCAAATTACGGTGGAAAATAAGTATTTGGTCAATATGAAAAGTTCATCTCAATACTTTGTTATATATCCTTTGTTGGCAATGACAGAGGTCAAACGTTTCCTGTAAGTCTTCACAAGGTTGGCACACACTGTTGCTGGTATGTTGGCCCATTCCTCCATGCATATCTCCTCTAGAGCAGTGATGTTTTGGGGCTGTCGCTGGGCAGCACGGACTTTCAACTCCCTCCAAAGGTTTTCTATGGGGTTGAGATCTGGAGACTGGCTAGGCCACTCCAGGACCTTGAAATGCTTCTTACGAAGCCAGTCCTTCGTTGCCCGGGCGGTATGTTTGGGATCATTGTCATGTTGGAAGACCCAGCCACGTTTCATCGTCTATGCCCTTGCTGATGGAGGTTTGCACTCAAAATCTCATGATACATGGCCCCATTCATTCTGTCCTGTACATGGATCAGTCATTCCTGGTCCCTTTGCGGAGAAACAGCCCCAAAGCATGATGTTGCCACCCCCATGCTTCACAGTAGTAGGTATGGTGTTCTTTGGATGCAACTCTCTCCTCCAAACATGATGAGTTGTGTTTCTACCAAACAGTTCTATTTTGGTTTCATCTGACCATATGACATTCTCCCAATCCTCTTCTGGATCATCCAAATGCTCTCTAGCAAACTTCAGACGGGCTAGGACATGTACTGGCTTAAGCAGGGGGACACATCTGGCACTGCAGGATCTGAGTCCCTGGCGGCGTAGTGTGTTACTGATGGTGGCCTTTCTTATGTTGGTCCCAGCTCTCTGCAGGTCATTCCCTAGGTCCCCCCGTGTGGTCCTGGGATTTTTGCTCACCGTTCTTGTGATCATTTTGACCCCACGGGGTGAGATCTTGCGTAGAGCCCCAGATCGAGGGAGATTATCAGTGGTCTTGTATGTCTTCCATTTTCTAATTATTGCTCCCACAGTTGATTTGTTCACACCAAGCTGCTTGCCTATTGCAGATTCAGTCTTCCCAGCCTGGTGCAGGTCTACAATTTTGTTTCTGGTGTCCTTCGACAGCTCTTTGGTCTTCACCATAGTGGAGTTTGGAGTGTGACTGTTTGAGGTTGTGAACAGGTGTCTTTTATACTGATAACAAGTTCAAACAGGTGCCATTGATACAGGTAATGAGTGCAGGACAGAGGAAGCCTCTTAAAGAAGAAGGTACAGGTCTGTGAGAGCCAGAAATCTTGCTTGTTTGTAGGTGACCAAATACTTTTTTTCCACCATAATTTGCAAATAAATTCTTTCCAAATCAGCCAATGTGATTGTCTGGATTTTTTTTCTCATTTTGTCTCTCATAGTTGAGGTCTACCTATGATGCCAATTACAGGCCTCTCTCATCTTTGTAAGTGGGAGAACTTGCACAATTGGTGGCTGACTAAATACTTTTTTGCCCCACTTTAACTGTTGTACATATAAAAGATAAAGCATTTTGGAAGTTATGTGAATAAACTCAGAATGTACAGGTTACATTAAATCTGATCCTTAATCAGTTTACTGCTGCTGTCTTGTAACATTTCTCTCCATTGACTAAATTGTCAGTCTCCCTTGTGTCTCCAAGTCTACATGGGTATCTGATGGTTGTAGACAGATGAGTAGATGTTTGATTTATTATAGGTATTTATATATTTCTGAAACTGTACACAACACCTTACACATATTATACATTCACATCTATGTTAATCATTAGCAGTGCACACTGAGTGTTTTCATAAATGACCTGTACAACCCCTTCAATGGTCTCTCCTTTTTCTTTTTGTACACTATCTGTAGGTCTCCACACTATGCCTGTCCAGAAGTTATCAGGGTAAGTATTCCATGCTCCTTATTCTATAATAGAGGATTGTGCACTGCTAAGTAAGAACTTTATTAACTGTTTACATCATGCACAGGGTGAGAAATATGATGGCAGGAAGGCTGACATCTGGAGTTGTGGCGTCATCTTATTCGCCTTGCTTGTGGTGAGACTGATACTTCCTCTAGGCCAATAACTCTGATTTACTATGATAGAAAGCTAACTGATATCTTGCTGCAGGGCGCTTTGCCGTTTGATGATGACAACCTGAGGCAGCTACTGGAGAAGGTCAAACGAGGGGTCTTCCACATGCCACATTTTATTCCCCCAGATTGTCAGAATCTCCTCTGTGGGATGATTGAGGTGGATCCCTTAAAGAGACTGACGGTGAGAAATAATGTTATAGCATTAATGTACCTATTCCTGAAAAATGTTACCCAGCACAGATGTTAGCACTTTTAAAACCTCCAAAATGGAGGACTTTAGGAACAACCAAATGAGTGCAGACTGCAGGTTGACTATACATTTCCAAGAAATTCCCCTTTGCAGGTTTTTATGCAGATTGGCTGACTCACTACTGGACCTGACTACTGTAGGGGTTGATTTACTAAAGGCAATTAGACTTTGCACTTTGCAAAGTGCAGTTGTTCCAGACTTTAGTAAATGAGGTAAAGCTCCACTTTGCAAAGAATACCCAATCGCATGCAAGGAAATTTTAAAAATACAACATTTCTGCTTGCACATGATTGGATGATGGAAGTCAGCAGAGCTTCTGCTCATTTACCAAGCTCTGGAGAAATTGCACTTGCAGAGTACAACTGCACTTTGCAAAGTGTACAGTCTGTCTGCCTTTAGTAAATTAACCCCTTAGTGTCTCTAGGTTAAAGTCTTACTGGTAGATCTCTCAGCTTCAAGAAAGGATAGGATATGTACCTGATCACCATATTCTGTAACAGCGTACGCAGCGGTAGATTATAATAGGCATAGAATAGGCAGCTGTCTGGGCCTTCAGGCTCCGGGGAAGGGGGTGAGGGTTTGCCATGTTCCCACTAAAGAAATTCTGCTTGCACATTACAGCTTATGACTTTTCAGTGAAAGTCTTTCGAACACTCTTCATCAGAAGACTTTTAAATAAAAAACAATATACATTCTAGGCAGATTATCTTGTACGTTATGTTCAGTCAAATGTCAACTGTCTAATAAACAACCACTAGAAGGACAACCTACCTGTTTGAGAAATATGATTCTGTAAATATGGCAAAGCAAACGTTTATAAATAACAGCATGATCAATATTATCAACAGTGTATCTCCAGCCAAACCTTTTCTTACTTCAGTTACTTAGCTTCTGTCAGGTTTTCATTGCATGACCATATCCCTGCTGCCAAGACTAATCCACTCTGTTTGTCCTGGTGACCATTGTAACAGAGACAGAACAGAATGAGAAAGTCAGTATGCACATGTAGTACGTTGTCCTATGTTCCTACACTTTTTGTAAGCCTAGCTACAAGGTTGGACAGGGCACCTCCCCATCGACCGCTGTCTTTCAACAATGTAGCTATCAAGGAGATGGCTGCAGCGGTAATTGGTACTTATCCCTAGCTCCAAACACTTGCCCAAGATGAGCATTGGCAAGAGGAATGCAGGGAGAGGAGGTGTGATATCCTCCCATTTGTCAGCATTACTCTTCCCAAGGCTTGTCATTAGCAAGTGCTTGGAGCCCAGGTAAGTGCAGGTTATTAAGCAGCTGTCTCCTTGCTAGCTGTGTTGTCAGGCAGCTACTGGATGGGAATGAGGGTCACCTTGTCTGACCTCATAGCTAGGAATTCAAATGTAAAAAAGAGGGTTCTCTTTGAAAATACTTGCTTGTTTTTGTTAAGGGCTCATTCACACCATATACTGTATGTTGAGCTGTACTGATCAACGCAGGCTGGAAAAACTATTGTTTTCTATGCAACCTGTTCACACCATTATTATTATTTTATTATACAGGATTTATATAGTGCCAACAGTTTACTCAGTGCTTTACAATATAACGGGAGACAATACAGCAACATTACAGTTCAATACAAGATGGAAAGGAGGGCCCTGCTCCTTGGAGCTTACAGTCTAGGAGGGAGGGGCTAGTGGTACAAAAGGTAGTAACTGTTGGGGATGGACTGGTTGGAAGAGTAGAAGATTCCATTATTAGCTGAGGGCAGGATAGGCTTCCTTGAAGAGATAGGTTTTCAGAGATCGCCTAAAAGTGAGCAGAGTAGGCGATAGTCTGATAAATTGGGGTAGAGAGTTCCAGAGGATGGGGGAACACCATAAAGCTGTGTTGAGGCATTTTGTGTAAAAATGACACATGTCTGCATTTTTACACAACATATGACACCACTTGTCACAACAGCACTTCACAATGTGCTGTAGTGCATAGAGTTAATTGAAGTGTCATTTTGTGACAATTCATTAAAGTATTGCACACCAGCGCGTACACATTTAAGCATGCACGATGGTGTGAGGAGCCACAAAAGTCTTGACTAATTCTGTTTTTAATTGTTTATTTAGGTCAGTAATCAGTATAGCTAAACACATGACTCTGCAATAGTGTGCATTCATTTTTTTCTTTTTCCTTTGTAGTTAGAAAACATACAGAAGCACTCCTGGTACATGTAAGTATACAAATAGTAGTGAATGTGAGTAAAATGGCACCTAGTCCTATCTGATGGCCAGCAGTACTGTGTGCCTTCAGATTAGCCTTGACCAAGAACAGCATGACTTTATAAAATATGTTGGTAAAAGGATATCCCTGACAGATAAATGTTTCTGAAAATAGGAATATGCACATAAATGAAGATTAATGTAAGTGACAGATTGCTGTGTGTATATTAAGCATTGTGACAAATAGATGGTTGGCAGCTCAGATTGTACATATAACACATTGACAGATGGTTACGTGTGACAGACATGTGTACACACATGATATACAGAGATGCACCAAGGCTGGTATTTCTTTGCAGGGAAAATTTCAGCTGTTGCCTGTAGCAACCAAAAAGATCCCAATTTTAATTTTTCCAGAGCAGGAGAAGAAATGGATATCTAAAAAATAAGAACAATGATTGCTGAAACATTATTTTTCCTGCTTCCAGTTCACACACTGCTTTTCAGTAATAAAATAATAGGCTCAATTCACTAAACTGTTAGACGTGTGTTACCTACTCATTTTATATTGGCGTGTGACTGGTAGAGAAACACTCACATTTTTCCATGTATTGCTTCCTTGCTGGCTGGATGACCAAGATGGTGAGAGACAACTTACACTTGCTCATCTTTGGCTAGAGAATGAGCAACACGTAGAAAAAGATGAGTCATTTTTTGTCGTTTTTTAGTGATTTTGTTGCTGTTGAGTTTTTGCCAGTGACAGGATCATATGCCATGGCCTTTCCGGCTTATTTCAGAAAACTTTACACAAGGATAAAGATCTTTCTTTTCAGGCTACTGTAATTTTCAAAACTCTTTGGAGTAACTGATACTTTAAAAAATTATATAAGGATCCTTACCTGGTATTTTAGTTCTTTAAATTGAAGCTTGTGACTGTCAAAGCTAAGAAAGCACTAAAGTATATTAATGGTTATTATAACATCAAATAATAGTGCAGCACCAATGTTTCCCTTAAAGTGGTCGTAAAGCTGCATTTTCTTTTACATTAAATTAACAAACATGTGCCTGTGCTCCTGCCCACTCCCCCTGCAGAGTGTCTCCAGAGCAAGCTGCTTGCTCTGGGGGCACTTGTGCAAGCTCACTTACGAGACAGCCCTTTATGTCCATAAAACATACAGAGCGTGGCTCGGCCTAGCCCCCCGCTCTCTTCTCAGATTGAAAGCATCAGGAGCCAATGGCTCCTGCTGCTGTGTCTCAGCCAATGAGGACAGGGAGACCTTTGAGAGCTGAGGCTCTCGTGCATGGTGCTGGATCATGTCCGGCTCAGGTAAGTATTGGGGGGGGGGGGGGTTTGAGTGGGGAGCTGCACACTGAAGGTTTTTTATCTTCATGCATAGGATGCATGAAGGTAAAAAACATTCAGCCATTATGACCACTTTAGTAACAAATTACCCCTCAACTTGAAGAAATAATTATATCTTGTGAGGAGATATCACCATCCAGCGCCAAGGAAATCAACAAGATGACACAAAATTGTCCTTGTAGTAAAACAACAAAATATTAATGAATAGGATTGTGTATAATATAGTATTTTATTAAAATTCATATTTCCTCACAGAAAAACAGTGAATTGCATCCAGATGCCAAATAGCAGCATTACAATATATCAAAGACAAATTGCACTTACAGGGATGGCCGCCAGCCCCAGAAGTGGCAGCGTGATGTCAGCACGTAGCTCCACCCCTACACATTTTGTGTGAGAGCACATCTTCAGGTGTTGCACGAAACCTGTAGGGGTGGAACTATGTGCTGACGTCACACCGCCACTTCTGGAGCTGGCGGCCATCTCTGTAAATGCGCTTTGTCTATGACATATTGTATTGTTGCTATTTTGTATCTTGATGCTTTTAACTGGTGTTATGTCAAAATATGAATTTTAATAAATACTATACTATACACGGTCCTTTGGTGTGGCACCATGCGAGGTCAGTACCTTTCCCCTATACAATGATAACTGGCTGCATGACTGTCCAATGATGAAAAGTGCTACTACCAGGCAACCTCAGTGTAACAGTGAAGCGGGATGACTTCATGTGAGAGGCTGGAGATTGATGCTCTTTACAGGCAACTTTGGAGCTGGTGAGTGCGGCAGTGGTTTGTCACAAGGGGTGGTGTAGATCCTTAAAGGTGAAAATTATCCACACAGGAGGATATCATTTGAATAGTGAACTTATTTAACTTGGATTTCATATCATTATTAATCATTCATATTTTTGTTGTTTTTACTACAGGGATAATTTTGTGCAATTTTGTTTTTCTTTTCCACTGGATGATGATCTCTTTTCACAAGATATAATAATTTCTTCAGGTTGAGGGGAATCACTTAGGTAATTTGTTATTCAATTAAACATTGGCGCTGCACTATTTTTTGATGTTATAGTTAGAGGTCTTGTATACTGTCCTTTGATGCAAGCTGCCAGAGGCACTTTAGTGCTTGCTTTCAGTTATACATATTAATGGTAAATAGTGAATTTAACCTTATATTCTGTAATCCATCTCAACCAATCAAAAAGCTTGTTTTATTGGTCAATTTTGCTAAAATCTGATTGCTCGATAATTAGTCACAACACCTTTCTTTCTTTCAGAGGAGGGAAGAATGAGCCCGAACCAGAGCAAGCAGTTCCCAGGAAGGTACAGATGGGGTCCTTGCCATCTTTAGAGGATGTCGACCCAGATGTGCTGGAGAGTATGCATTCCCTAGGCTGCTTTAGGGACCGGAACAAATTGCTACAAGACCTGTTGTCTGAAGAGTAAGAGTCAAGATCGCTGTGTTTACTGCAGATATGTAGATCTGGTGAACTGTCTGGCAAAGCATCCTGGTACTTTAATTTAGCAACAACTTGCAAGCCTCACGTTGCCTACCTCAGGTAGAAGGCAATAAATATGACATGTGGGTGATGGGAAGAGAGACTTACAGCTGCAGTATGTATCACTATAGGAAGCTTAAAGACTACCGGACAGTCGATACAGGGAAAGCTGTACTGAGCAAGCAGTGGAATTATCATGAGAGACAGGAAGAATTATATGCAAGCTAAAAGACATTACATTAAGCAGAGTTAAAAAATCAGTAGAATCAAATTAATTGTAGAATTAATTTATCATTACATGCTAGAAGATTTTCTAAAACATTTTCTCCTTGATGATCAGAGAAAACCAAGAGAAGATGATTTATTTCTTGTTACTGGATCGGAAAGAGAGGTATCCCAGCCAAGAGGATGAAGACCTACCACCCAGGGCAGATATTGGTAGGATTCCTAATCTTCCAATTTCAGATCTAGACTTCAAGTAATTTAATTACATGTCTATTCTGACTTTATGTCGTTTTATCTTCTAGATCCTCCTAGGAAGCGTGTTGACTCACCCATGTTGACTCGCCATGGGAAGAGAAGGCCAGAGAGAAAATCTATGGAGGTTCTGAGTGGAACGGATGGAGGCTCACCAGTACCAGCACGCAGGGCGATTGAGATGGCACAGCATGGTCAGAGGTCAGAAACAGTTTGCTTAGATGAACATCTGAAACTTTTCTATATCATGCACATTTGAAGGTCATAGATTTACATACTTTACACTCAAATTTGATCCAGATTTGTGGGGAAAAAAATGACCAAGAATTCCATAATCATATGGCTAAAAAAAGTATAAAAAATTGCAGGAACTTCCTAAAATTCTGGTATGTGTCCACTGGATTGTAAAGTCAGAGTTCTAACCATGTGCAACCATTCCATTTGTACATGTTGTAAGGTTCCACAAAGAGCCTCTGGGATTTAGGAGCCCATTTATTATAAATCCGTGACAGGTGCTGGAACTGTTTCCTCAGTCATGTAAACTTAGCCAAGGCTCATTTTATCTAGTTGACATTAACACACAGTGAATACGTGTTTTGTACTAGTCCAGTAGTTGAATGAGGAGCCAAAAAATTGGTCTTACACAGGAGCCCTTTCGTGACTTTGACTAATACTGGGTCTAACTGTGGCTATATGAAACCCAGCTAATTAAGAAATAGTACCTGCGATATACAGTACAGTGCCTTGAAAAAGTATTAATACCCCTTGAAATTTTCCACATTTTGTCATATTACAGCTAAATGTAAATGTATTTTATTGGGATTTTATGTGATAGACCAATACAAAGTGGCACATAATTATGAAGTGGAAGGAAAATGATAAATAGTTTTTACAAATAAATATCTTACAAGTGTGGTGTGCATTTGTATTCACCCCTCTTTACTCTGCTACACCTAAATAAAATCTAGTGGAACCAATTGCCTTCAGAAGTCACCTAATTAGTAAATAGAGTCCACCTGGTTTGTAATTTAATCTCAGTATATATACAGCTGTTCTGTGAAGCCCTCAGAGGTTTGTTAGAGAACATTAGTGAACAACCCGCATCACAAAGGCCAAGGAACACACCAGACAAGTCAGGGATAAAGTTGTGAAGAAGTTTAAAGCAGGGTTAGGTCATTAAAAAATATCCCAAGCTTTGAACATCTCATGGAGCACTGTTCAATCCATCATCAGAAAAAATGGAAAGAGTATGGCACAACTGCAAATCTCCCAGACATGGCCATCCATCTAAACTGGCAAGGAGAGCAGTAATCAGAGAAGCAGCCAAGAAGCCCATGGTAACTCTGGAGGAGCTTCAGAGATCCACAGCTCAGATGGGATAATCTGTCCACAGGACAACTATTAGTTGTGCACTCCACAAATCTGGCCTTTATGGAATAGTGGCAAGAAAAAAGCCATTGTTGAAAGAAAGCCATAAAAACTCCCGTTTGCAGTTTGCGAGAAGCCATGTGGGAGGACACAGCAAACATGTGGAAGAAGGTGCTCTGGTCAGATGAGACCAAAATTTAATTTTTTGACCGAAAAGCAAAATGGTATGTTTGGCGGAAAACTAACGATTCACTTCACCTTGAAGACACCATCCCCGCTGTGAAACGTGGTGGCAACATCATGTTCTGGGTATGCCTTTCTTCAGCAGGGATTGGGAAGCTGGTCACAGTTGATGGGAAGATAGATGGAGCCCAATACAGGGCAATCTTAGAAGAAAACCTGATTCTGCAAAATACTTGAGACTGTCGGAGGTTCAGCAGGACAATGGCCCTAAACATACATCCTGAGCTACAATGGAATGGTTTAGATCAAAGCATATTGATGTGTTAAAATGGCCCAGTCAAAGTCCAGACCTAAATCCAATTGAAAATCTGTGGCAAGACTTGAAATTTGCTGTTCACAGACACTCTCCATCCAATCTGACAGAGTTTGAGCTATTTTACAAAGAAGATAGGGCAAACATTTCACTCTCTAGATGTGAAAAGCTGATAGAGACGTACCCAAAAAGGCTTGGAGCTGTAATTGCAGCAAAGTATTGACTCGGGGAGCTGAATACAAATTCACACTTTTTAGATATTTATTTGTGAAAAATGTTTAAACCCATTTATCATTTTCCTTCCACTTCACAACTATGTGCCACTTTGAGTTGGTCTATCACATAAAATCCTAATAAAATACATTTACGTTTTTTGTTTGTAACATGACAAAATGTTGAAAATTTCAAGGAGTATGAATACTTTTTCAAGGCACTATACATGCTTATAGGTGGTATTGTGAAATCTGTAAATTATATTTTTAGCATAGTTTACATATTTAATTCAGTGGTAGGAATTCCAATATTGTGGTCGAAGGGTAAATGAGGCGCAACATGGAATCTCCATCACCCATCCCCTTTGCTCCCAGACAGTCTGAACAGGCAGCTCCAACAGTAGCGCTGCCTGTCCACAGTAAAGGCATAAAGTATAAATGTCTCATAGTCAGGCAGTCCCAGGGTTTACTTATGGGAATTAACTCATGCCCTTAAAGTACAAGTAAACCTTTTTATTAAATCAGAACTTTACACCTCAAGAGAAGTTCTGCTGATCCTTCTTCTCCCACCCCTTTTCACTTTTGGAACTTTTTTGGGGAGGGAACTGGTACCTAGTTTTCTCAAGTACCCGCTCCCACTTCCGCTGGAACTGCCTAGGTGGTCCTAACAGAAGTTCTCCTCCCCTCCCTGCCGGCAACTTCCCTGGACATGTCACAGGTCCCAGGAGGCTGCAGGATTATTCACAGGGCTCAGCAAGGCTCAGTGGGGAGTAGACTGTGAAGCAACAAGGAGTCACAGCCGTCTTCCCACAGTCATCATAGTGAGGACAGGAACCTGAAGACTGGCGAAGAACCAGCTTGGGCATTTATATAGCGCAACATTTTATGTAGTGCTTTACATATTGTACATTCACATCAGTCCCTGCTCTCAAAGAGCTTATACGCTAAGGTCCCTACTTCTCATGTGTACATACATTTGTGTTCAAAATAATAGCAGTGTATTGAAAAAAGTGAATAAAGCTCAAAATCCTTCTAATAGCTTTTATTTCCATACACACAAATGCATTGGGAACACTACACATTCTATTCCAAATCAAAACATGAAGAAAAATATATCAAATTTGTGTTGTTCCTCTAAAAAAATTGAAGAAAAGTGAATATTAGACTGTTCAAAAAAATAGCAGTGTTTCTATTTTTCTTTACAAACTCAAACATTCACTATATAAACTGAAAAATGTTTGAAGATTTTGCTTTCCTTTGAATGACTTAATGAATATTTAGTTGTATAAGCGCTGTTTCTGAGAACTGCTGTACATCTGTGTTGCATGGGATTCAACCAACTTCTGGCACCTGTGAACAGGTATTCCAGCCCAGGATGATTGGACTACATTCCACAGTTCTTCTCTATTTCTTGGTTTTGCCTCAGAAACTGCATTTTTGATGTCACCCCACAAGTTTTCTATTGGATTAAGATCCGGGGATTGAGCTGGCCACTCCATAATATCAATCTTGTTGGTCTGGAACCAAGATGTTGCGCGTTTACTGGTGTGTTTGGGGTTGTTGTCTTGTTGGAACACCCATTTCAAGGGCATGTCCTCTTCAGCATAAGGCAGCATGACCTCTTCAAGTATTCTGATGTATTCAAACTGATCCATGATGCCTGGTATGCGATAAATAGGCTCAACACCGTAGTATGAGAAACATCCCCATATCATGATGCTTGCGCAACCATGCTTCACTGTCTTCACAGTGTACTGTGGCTTGAATTCAGTGTTTGGGGGTCATCTGACAAACTGTCTCCGGCCACTAGACCCAAAAAGAACAATCTTACTTTTCATCAGTCCACAAAATGTTGCGCCATTTCTCTTTAGGCCAGTCAATGTGCTCTTTGGCAAATTGTAACCTCTTCAGCATGTCTTCTTTTCAACAGTGGGACTTTGCGGGGGCTTCTTGCAGATAGCTTGGCTTCACATAGGCGTCTTCTAATTGTAACAGTACTCACAGGTAACTTTAGACCTTCTTTGATCTTCCTGGAGCTGATTGTTGGCTGAGTCCTTGCCATTTTGGCTATTCTTCTATCCATTCGAATTGTAGTTTTTTCGCTTTCTTCCACGTCTTCAGGTTTTGGTTGCCATTTTAAAGCATTTGCGATCATTTTAGCTGAGCAGCCTATCATTTTCTGCACTTCTTTATATGTTTTCCCCTCTCCAATCAACTTTTTTAATCAAGGTCCGCTGTTCTTCTGAACAATGTCTGGAACGACCCATTTTCCTCAGAATTTCAGAGAGAAATGCACTGTAACCAGCATGTACAATATTTGCTGCCTTCCTTCCTTAAATAAGGGCAATAATTGCCACCTGTTTTTCAAAGAATGAATGACCTCACTAATAGAACTTCACACTGCTATTATTTTGAACATGCCCCTTTCAATTAGTGATTCAATTACACAGAATCAGCAGCATGCATGTCATGACTGTTGGGTCTGTTGGATTTCTATTACTCTACTACACCTGCTAGTAAATTATTTGCCTTGTAGAAATATAATTTCTACCAAAAACAGTGATTGATCAGGTTAGTGATGTCTGACTGCTATTATTTTGAACACAACTGTACATACTAGAGCCAATTTTCACAGGAGCCAAAAGTACTCGGAAGAAACCCACACAAGCAGGGAGAACATGCAAACGTTTTGCAGCTGTGGTCCTGGGCAGATTTTGAACTGGAAGTAGCAAGGCAGAAGTGCTAATCACTAAGCCACTGTATTGTGCTAGCTAATGGTGGTAAATCAAATTGCAAGTGACAAAAATGCAGTAAACCCAGCAATTCTAAAAAAACAGATTATGTTCTTCCAGGTCGCGATCAATCAGTGGTGCTTCTTCAGGACTTTCCACCAGCCCGATCAGTAGTCCCAGGGTAAGTCTTTTTAACTGTTTATCCCAACCCCAGTTTACCCCCTCTCACCCTTTCCTCCCAGTATCTGGGTAAAAGACAGGACTATAGTTCTTCCTGATACTACCCTGTGTTTCTTGTAAGTGCAGTTTTATTTTAAAACTATAGGGGCCCCTTTTTATTTCCCTGTGCTCTGTTAATCTGCTTTATTACATGCATTGACTGTCTATTTGTATGTTTGACATGTTACTAAACCTATGCACATATGCAGATGATGCCTGACAAGTTAAATTCTGTATTTGGTATACGGTACATTACACATTTAGAAAACAATATAAACTTGATCATGACATTTTCCATTTTGGAAATGCTGCAAAAGTAAGGTGCTATAATTCTGACAAACAATACCCATCATAGAACAATACCGAAATGCTCCTCGACAGAAAGCACATTATATTTTAAAAGTTGACCATATGACAAAAAATGAATGAACAGGAGAGTCTCCCCTTTCCCAATTAGCTTGCAATGATAAATTAGAAAACCTCATAAATTTTGAAGTTTCTAATATGTCTAGAGTGAAATGATCACACATTACAGATGGTAATTAGGTTTCCATTAAAAAAGAAAACCCCTTAAAGGATATTTAAACCCTAAGGCCTCATACACACAGACAGTTTTTTCCCGCCAGCATCAAATCCTGGCGCTTTCAGCAGGGGCGGACTGACAAATCATGGGGCCCCCGGGCAATAGGGGATCATGGGGTCCCTGTGTCCTTGCCCAAACTCAAAAAAGCCTATGAAAAAGGTACCAGGCGCATCTCATGGGGCCCCCTACTGACCCCGGGCCCTCGGGCAGTGCCCGAGTTTCCAAATGGTCAGTCCGCCCCTGGCTTTCAGGCAACTGGAAATCGTTGGTGCAGTGTCTAGCCTCACTGCTGGCAGCCTATCAAAATCTTGACACTGTACTGTAATGCAGAAACTCTGCGTTCGGGGCATATGTCCCTGAATGCATATATGCGCCGCGTATTACAGTCTGTCACAGATTTTGGTAGGCTGCTGGCAATGTTACTCCTGTGCCTGCTGGGCATACAAAAACACCAGGAATTGATACTGACTGGCCAAACCAGTAATTTGCTCTTTTTCCTTGGTTTGTTAAAGTATACATTCACCTTTTTACAAAAAATAGTAAATGCACATTTTGTTGCAGGTAAAAAAATGTGCATTTATTATTTTTTTGTTTCTGGAGCCTCTACAGCATTGTGCGAATGATCAGAAGATCACTGGTGCCATGCAGATCTCCTGCAGACCTGTCAATATATCTGCTTGCCTGTATGGGATGTACGGGCAAGCAGATATACTGACAAGAAGAATGTATAAACTACCATGGCGCTCCACAGCGCCATGGTAGTTCATTGAGAACTACAAGCCGTTGGGATTTGTAGTTCATTCATTCACAGAACACCATGTGGGCATTTTTTTTTTCATTGTAACAGCTCAGATCAGGGAGTGAGGAGGAGCGGAGGGCAGTCCATTCGTAACATGTTACATGTTACACCCTGAATATGGGTGTAACATGTTACGGAACGTGAACTTATCCTTTAATTATACCATTGAAAGCACTGTTGATCCTGCCAGAAATCCAGTGAACGCAAACTCATAACTTCCCATTATTGCTGCACTAAAATCTTAAACCACGTTTTTAGGCATTCCTAATTGATTGAGTTGATGTAGAGCATCTCTCCCCTTGGTTATGGAGAAGATGAGAGGGGGTGCTGTTCTTTTCCTTGGGTGACAATGCTGCATCATGATCATTTGTTTAAAATGAAGAAAAAAAAACACAGCCAGCAAATCCAAGGTTTAATACGTTGAAGAAAACCTTTACTGAGAGAAATATTTGTAATTTTTCCATCAGAGAATGCTTGTTTCCTGGCTGTCATTGTCCCTGATAAAGTATGCAGCTTATGTTTACTGAGTTCATTTGTTCCTTGTTCAGTTTGTACTAATGCCAGAGTCAGCCAGGCAACTAGTATTTTTTGAAGGATGGCAGCCTATGGATACAGGTTTCCTCTGCTATTTTTTCTGCACTCTATGAATGTTAAGAACATTCACTGGCTCAATAACTCAGGCTTCATTTGTATGTGTCCTAGGTTTGTGTGTGTGGAGAATATGCATGGTGCAGGAAGTGGCAGATGCTGGATAATGTGAACATATATGCAATTCATTATACATTCTGAGTGCACTTCTGAGGGGATCTGTAGGATGAGTCAATTCTAGGATAAGATAACCTGCAATGGAGACAGACAGTCTTCTAATCTCATTTGTGACTGATAATGAGATCTGCCAGCATAGTACAGGCAGAGCTAAGTACAGTGAACATTAAAGTGGTTGAAAACCCTTCCATATACCCAGTGAAGTGACTGGCCTCAGGTAATACACAGAGATGAAACAAATCCTCCTACGTTAGTTGTACCTGTTTATCTGCAGTTTTCTCCACCCGTTTAAAGTGCTGAATTTTAAAGCTTGACTGTGATTTCAGAAAAAAAGGGGCAGAGAGCTAATGTTACACTTTGCAGAGCTCAGTGATGAGAACTCTGAGAGCCGATTGGAACGAAGGGACACCCCCCCCCCCTTTCCATACAGCTCACAGGAAATGAGCTGAGGTTGTCAATCTGCTGGAAGTCCCTCCCCTATCACCATTTTTCTCCTGGTGTCAGGAAAACTTGTCATAAGTGACTCATTCTGATAGCAGAGGAATAAAGTAGCGGACAGAAATGGCACTTCGTGCTCCTGATTGAGACAAGTACACACTATAAAGGGATATGCTTTGCTCATGTTTCATGTCTGACGTTTACCACTTTAACAAGCAATTCGCAGCATTCATCCTTAGGTGCATACTTTCCTAAACATTAGCAGCCTTCAGTGCTCTGTCCAGCTTTCAGCCTCTCAGAAAGTTTTACAGGCTGCCGGCAGCGGAGTTGGACTGTGTTCCTGTGCCTTCAAAACGCCCAGTGTGCATGGGGGCCTTATTGAATAAGAATGCTTGTGTAAAGGAAAGACAATCTAGTCTGGTTGTTTGCTCAGTTTTTTGCATTTGGTTTAAAGGTTAATTCTGTCACCTTTAACCACTTCCCGTCCCATGTACATAAACGGCCAGACGTCTTACGGCCAGACGGGAGCAGTGCAGGAGCGGGTGCCCATTTATAAACGTCCACCCACATTCCCTGCCTGTGCGTGCTCCCAGGAAGCGCACATCACCGCGATCTGGTGGCGATCTGTCCTCCGGACACAGCAGAACACAGATCGCTGTACGGGACCTCTGTTTGAGGTCCCAATCATATGATCACTGATTGGCCAATCAGTGATCACATGAATAGTAGTAAGCAAGATGTCACTTCCTGACATCATTGCCTACTACTAGTGAAATCTGTGAATGATCACAAAGGTCACATGGTACAAGGCTATTCGCAACAGCCTTGTACCATGTGACAAGCTGTGACCAATCACAGCTCTCACAGTATTTCTCAATGGCTGCAAGAATGATTGTTTTTACAGCCTTTATGGGTGTAAAAGCAGTGTAAAAAAAAAAAAAAATCTTCATCACCCCCCACGAGTAGTACAATGTCACTATGGTGACACTGTACTGCTAAGGCGACAGTATGTTAAAAAAAAACTAATAACAATAATATAAAAAAAGTAAATACAAATGTAAAACAATTTCATGAAAAATTTTAATTTTTGGGTATAAATTAATTTGGATTATTTTTTTTTTTAACTAAAACGATAGCTGAATACATTTTGGCCAAGATTTATGAAGAAAGATTATTTATTTGCAAAATGTTATAAGAAAAAACACTTTTTTTTTTTCAAAATGTTTGGACTTTTTCATTTATATAGCAAAAAATAAATATCCCAGTGGTGAATAAATACCACCAAAATAAAGTTGTATATGTCTCAAAAAAATGCTAAAAAAATTATTTGGGTACTGTGTTGCATGACCGCGCAATTGTCATTCAAAGTGTGATAGCACTGAAAGCTGAAAATTGGCTTGGACAGGAAGGGGGTGAAAGCGTCTGGACTTGAAGTGGTTAAAGTGCACTCAGAATGTGTTATAATACACAAGTGATATAATCTTTATTTGTTTATTATTCTCCTGTATTGCATCAGCAGTGATGGCATCACTTATGTCAAGAGTCTCTTAACTAAATAAAGAATATGTGCTGCCCAGGGGCGTACTGACCATTCAAGCACTCGGGCACTGTCCGAGGGCCCGGGGTCAGTAGGGGGCCCCATGAAATGCCCATCGTACCTTTTTATAGGCTTTTTTTGAGTGTGGGCAAGGACACAGGGACCCCGTGATCCCCTATTGCCCGGGGGCCCCATGAGTTGTCAATCCGCCCCTGGTGCTGCCTATAGCATTTATTTAGGATCTTCTTGATTGCTAAAGGCAATGCCTCTACAATCCTCTAATGCAGTTAAGCCCATTCTGAATTTCTTCTTAGATGGAAGAGTACCCTGAAAGTAGTTTACCTAGATATGGTGAACTCTTATAACAAGCTATTAAAAGAAAAAGATACTTGTGTACTATATGAAATGATGACTCCCATGCTGTAAGACCTTAAGGATAACAGAAGTCATCAATTTGTGTAGAGTTTCTCCCTGTGCTGTGATTTTATATAATTGTGGGTGTCTTCTGATATCCTTGATACTTGATCTATGTATAAGATTCACATGATCCAGCAATGCCGGCTTAGTCTAATATTCTGGGTAATACCATTATCCATGCTTCTGGTTTCCTATAGTGTGTGTTTTAATATAGCTACATGCAACATTGTGACATTATTTATGCATCAATGCATACACTCAGCAAACCTTGCTTCTTTATCATCTAAAAATGACAAACTTTAAAACTTGCCTTAAGGTGTATCTATTATTTATCTAGACGTTAAAAGCCATGACCTTATCTTTGTAAATATATTCACCTTATGATGAAATATCATGAGAGACATAGAAGGGCTTCCACTGCTG